TATATATATATATATTACATGCATGCCACTAAATTCTTATGCATTGACATATCTACCCCACAAATTTTAATTTTTACAGGCACACCAATTTACCTATACATGAAAAGCTGTATTTCCGTTTTAAAAAAATTAAAAAAGTGATATTTATTATGTGATATGAAAAATTTTGGGTGGTCCTAAAGTAAATAGTAAAGTTTACGTGTTTAACACGTAAATATACAGAAATTGGGTGGTATTTATGTAAATGCTACATGCATAACAAATTTTAGGTATTACAAATGTAAATTCAGAAGAACCATGTGATATGTATGTAAATTTTCCCAAGTGTAAAAGCACGTTGCAAACATCACTGGATCAATCAATCAAAGTAAAGCAAACAGATTATTTCAGCTTCCTGATATTTTGAAAACTGTAAATTACAAGATTTATCTATAGTTCACAGATTAAATCCATTTTCAACGAGCTAACTCAGCTACATAAGCAAGCTACAAGGCCTAGTTGTAATTCAGAAGGCCGGGTGGGTAAATTTTATTTTTAAAGGCTTTTATATTAAGAATTAGCATTCTTATTAACATAAGAAAAAAATTATTAGCTCATGAATGTAATTAAGCAGGCTCTTCAACTTAGCTCTCAGATTCCGCAGCTTCATATCCGTAAGGGTTTTTGCTAGCCCAGTTCCATTGATCACGACACATCTCCTCAATTCCATACTTGGCTCTACATAACAGATGATTCCATGTATGTTTGTAAGAAGATAATTGTGTTTTTAGACTACTAATTAAGAGATGATTGAGAGAGTAAAACATTTATATATGTTTTGATGTTTTATGCACACCTCCAATTCAACTCCTGCTCAGCTTTCTCGGTGGATGCATAGACGATTTCGGCGTCGCCGGGCCGCCTGTCAGCCATGATCAAAGGAATTTTCTGCAGTGAAATATTGATGGGTTAGTGAAGAAAGGAGATGTGACACTTAAAACTCTGACAAAAAAGTTTGAAGCAACCTTTCCAGATGCTTTTTCAAATGCTGCTACCATTTCTAGCACAGATGTTCCCTTTCCAGTTCCCAGGTTATAGACTTCACAGCCTGTGGCAGCCAGATTTGTAAGAACAATAACAAAGAGATAAATAAAACACAAAAATAAAAAATAAAAAAATATTAATGGGTTGTTTGGGATCACTTTTGTAATTTATCTTGTTTATGTTTTAATTTGAAACACATAATTTTTGTGACATGAGAGAGTCTCGCATGATCGTCGGATAAGGAAGTCTGTGATTCTGATGGCAGAATTTCCACGATTCCACGACGCCCGGCAGCCACAATCATAGAAGTATCTATTGCCAATATTTCTTTTGTTTGTCTAGTTTTTGGTTCTTTCCTATTTTTCTATTTACAAATTAGGTTATTTTTCTATTAGGTAATATTTATACGTGTATTGGGTTGTTTGAGTTTTCAGTTTGTTGATTTTATGAATTAAGAGACGTTTGTTTGAATTTTCCTACCCGGAATGTTGTATCCAATTTCTTTTGTAAATGATGTAATTGCATCTTTTGCTTAGAAACAGGTGATAAAATCAAAGAGGAGATGAAGTCATGATATCTAAAAGATAAGTACCAAGCAGAGAAAGCTTAAGGTGGTGTTTGGCTGCACCTTGATTTTATGTTAAATTGGACTTATCATACGAAGATGGAGATCACTCCCGATGGGAGTGAATCCTTAAATCCGGCCCGCAATCGAATTTAGTAAATTCGGATTTAGGGGAGGACACAATAAACAGAGATGGAACGCATATAATTTTTATTTTACGGAGCTTTGAATTTAATTTGCATTTTTTTATGTTTGGCTAGATTTATCTTAAATCCATTACTATATACTATTTAAACAATGCTACCAAACACCGCCAAAAATTTGATGTCTCCCATAACATAACATAACACTAAAGACACACATATGTATATAAATACATGGAGATTTATATGTGCATGTACGTACTTAGGTTTCGTGGGTGTTATGTTATTTGAGCAAGGAACATCACAGAGACTATCCCCCAAGCACCCCTCTACCACCACTGATCGCCATAAAATTTTTTTCTTAATTTAGATTGCACTGTGAACTTGTATATCCAAACCCAACAGAATTTGGATCACAAACTCAAATCAGTAAATAATTATTCCATCCTCATACTGAATCTTTTATGGAGTAGGTAAGGTTACATTAGGCAGGCAGCTATCAATCCAAACAGAAAAAAATATCAGGAAAAGATGAACTTTACCAATACTTTTGTCTTGGAATAATTTCTTAAGAGCTGCAAGATGTCCATCAGCCAGATCCAAGATATGAATATAGTCACGAACCTGGAGCCATAAAAAATACATCAAAACAATTATGTGAGCGGCAGCGAAAGATTTTAGCAGACAATAAAGCACATCATACAGATAGAAGATATCAGTAAAGTCGCAAGATGTGATCTGACCGATTAAACACTAAAAATTTTGCATATATGAAAGTACAATCAAAATAATGAAGTTACAAACTGTAATGGATAAGAATGCATAATATAGACCAGAACACAGGATTTTAACAAATAGAGAGGATGAAAATTCGAAGTGGTAATATTGACGAGGGTACCCAGCAAGAAGATTTCAATAAGTTTAAATATTTTAAAAGGCCAAAAGAGCTCATGGACCATATCCTAATATTGTTAATCAATAACTACTGCAATCAAACAAACAGGAAAATTGAACTCGGCACACCAAGCTTTAAATTATTTAGCTGAAAAATCCAACAAGAAAATCTACCAAAAATGTATAAACAGCAAGGGTTACAGCTTCAAACTGAGCACTTAAAGAATGGAAAGATCTAGAGGAGAACAACAAGATTATTAACAAACAAGGTGAGTTGGGCATTTTGTTTTATTTATTTATTTATTTATTATTTTTAAAATTTTTATGCAAATAAATCAAGTGGTTCATTCAACAACAACAACAACAACAAAGCCTTAATCCCACTACGTGGGGTCGTCTACATGAACCCTTTTTGTCCGTCGAGTCCTATTTAGAATCAAGTGGTTCATAATAATTATATTTTTATTTCTCATAAATAGCTTAAGAACAGAATCAAAAGTATTACCCCAGTTCCATCCTTGGTACTATAATCACTTCCATAAACAGTAAGTGCAGGCCTCCTCCCAACAGCAACTTGTTGTACAAAGGGCATCAGGTTGTTAGGTATTCCTCGAGGATCTTCACCAATTTCTCCACTGGGATGAGCACCGACAGGATTAAAATATCTAAGAAATATTATATTCCAATCAGAGTCTGATTTGTGTATGTCACGGCACATATCTTCAATTATAAGCTGCAATCATCTTATTATGTTAGCAGAAGTGATCAGAAGATGGAATTAAGATTATGGACAGTAAGAAACATGAGAGAATAACCTTAGTTCGCCCATAAACATTTGCTGCACTGAGAGGGAACTCTTCTGTGCAGGGAACTTGCTTTGGCCATCCATAAACAGTTGCTGATGATGAAAAAATGAACTGAAAATAATTTCACAAAGGATGAGTCGGTTTTATGTTAGAATATTGCATAGGGGCTGTAAACATACTGAAAGAAAAGAGGAAGGAGATCTAAAAAAAAAATTACATAGGGGCTGTAAACATACCGAAAGAAAAGAGGAAGGAGATCTAAAAAAAAAATTAGTAGAAGTAAAGCTTGCTTTCTGGCAAAAGAGTTCCCGAAAAAATTTGTGTTAATATTTAACCATTAAATATAAATATTTATCATGCATAGTGTTAATAAAATATTAGGTGAATCTTCATCCCAAAAAGCCTCCACTGCTTAAACACTGGAACAAAGACTATTTGGTCATTAATACACAAAAAAAAAAAAGCCTGGACGTGTCATTTAATCATCATATACCCTTAGTTCCCCATGTAATGTGTAAGCTAATGAAAAGATCAGCTGTGATTATTCTACAACCCTCTGCTATACAAATCACATAGTTAAACTTTGCAGTTAGTTTGCTAAACGAAAAAAACAGTAATAATATAATCTAAGCTCAAGCAGGTGCAATGTTACCTTTTATTTTTAATTTCCTAGATGATTAGTGGATATGAATTTCATAAATTCTATGATTATTGTTTTAGTATACATACTATTAAAATAGACGTACTACTAGCACTCCAAAAGTTTGTCTTTGCAACTTAAACTAATTACATAACCAGTCAAATAATAATAAAAACAAATGAAGACATTTTGCTATTAAAAAAAGTTGCTGGTCTTCTAAATCACCAGTTTTAATGAAACAAAGGAGCCTATAAATAATGCTCAGATTAAACATATGCATAAATAATTGGAGACTAATTGGGCCCTGAAAAATAGATATTAATTACATGATAAAAGAGAAGGAATAAAGCTCACATTTTTGCAGCCATGAGCAGCCATCACTTCTAAAAGAGTTATTGTACCAATAAGATTGTTGTTATAATAAAGCAAAGGCCTCTGGACACTTTCCCCCACAGCCTTCAACCCAGCAAAATGAATTACAGCATCAAACCTGCAGGTTAAAATGACATTCATACAGTTATTGTTAGATCAAAATGATAAACTCCAAACTTAAGTGACGAGAATAATCAACAGAAATACCAATACAGCAACAGCCTGAGAAAAAAATTTAGATTAATAGATAGTAACAGTACGGTAGGATTATTAATCAAGAACTGCAACTCAATGCTAAGCTGCAACTCATGCAATTTCTTATGAATTTTAATGAAAAAAGGCAATGCACCCACAAAATTAGGAATGAAAACATTAATAGTAAAAGCAATCAGAAAGCCTTAGCGCAACAACAATTCCATCAAAAAGCCTTAAAAGGGGCTAAGGTATTTCAAAATTTTTAATACAAAGTATCAACAACTTTAATTACACAGTCAGAGAGACATGAAAAAAAATGGAAAAAAGAAGAAAAACCGCATAAATACTCACTTCGTAGAAGCAAATACTTTGTTTAATGCTTCTCTATCCCGAAGATCAACCTGCATAGTGAAAAAAAAAAAAAAAGGATCTTTACCATGAAATTGATAATGAAGAATGAGACAACTAACAGTTTTCAGACAATGTATAACTTATGCCAAGATAATAGGAAGTAATATAGCATGCAACATTCCCTTAACAGT